TATTCTCTATATTTTAGTATATTATACTCGCCATTACATATAGAAATAAAAAAGATTCTTCCCTGTTTTTACACTTTGACTAATTCAATAATGAATCTAAGGTTTGATTTCTTTTTATTTTTTTTTATTTCTCGAGTTTTAAACGGAGATCCAGAAGTACTACTTCTAGCCAATTTTAACACTCCGAATTTATATGCAAGTTCATATATATATGTTATATAAAAATATTATTTTATTTTAAATTATAATTTCATAGATTCAAATACTCTACTAAATCAACCGCCAAAGGTCACTCTTCCCCTATAAAAACTCGTTGTTGTTTTATCCCAATGGCCGGCTCAAATCTTTGTACATTATGTAAATAATCTTTTGTTTTTCCTTGTTCTATTCACCTTAAGCCAGGCGGTACTTTTACAAAATTATGTTTTTCATATGTATTCCTCAGCTCAATAAAGAAATCTCTGATCAAGACTTTATATTTTCAAGATTATTATTCGACCACGACTGCACCACCAGAGCTTAATCCTCAAGATAACCAAAATCAAGAAAATGACCAATAATTCCTCTACAAGTAATTAATCTCAAAACAGCAAATAATCTTTATTAAATATAATATATATTATATATATATATATAATATTTTTGTCCCAGTGGCTTCCTGAAAAACCAAGAAATGGGTATTTAAGGCCAAACTTACGTAAATACGCTTAACACATGAAAAAGGAATAGAAAAAATAAAAAATAAAAAGGTCAGGTGTTGATATTAAAAACAAAGTAGGCATATTCTAACCATTTATATTGCTTTTGCATGTGTTAAGCGTATATTAAGCACATTTTTGGTCGCAGTGGGACAGCCTACTCCACGCTGACGAGCGCTAAAAAGCGCGAAACGCGTTCGTGGATGGCTTTTCTTGATTTATCAAGAATTTGGGTTGGGCAAATATCAGGGAACAGGCTAAATCAATGTTTAGTTGATTTCTGTTCCAGCAGATGGCGCTCTGCCTTCTGTAAAGCACATGTGCTCCTGGATATGCCTTCTTTGTTTTTAATATCAACACCTGATCTTTTTATTTTTTTCTGTTGCTTTTTCATATATATATATATATATGAAAAAATAGTACAAATGTAACATTGTTGGCGGAGCGCCATCTAGTGGAACATAAATAAATTAAACGTTTATTTAACTTGCTTCGTGATAAAAAGCTAATGTGAGCCTGGTCAGGACATGCCTCTTTTGTTTTTAATATGTAAATATATATCTAAACTTGTGTGTGTGGATATAAATTTGGAGTGTTATAATTGAATAGAAGTAGTACTTCTGGGTCTCTGTGTTGAAGAGCATGTTGGCCCGAAAGCTCGAAAAATAAAAGATTTGTAAAAAGAAACCTAACCCTAGATTCCTAATGGATTTTGTAAAGACATATAGAAATGTCAACATATATAAAACTTGAAGTTGTGGGAGGATGGTATTCATGTATCAAACATGGCAACTCTTACCTCAATATTAAAATAATGCCTCTGGTTTATCATCATAGTTTGTCTTTTTTGGGGGGTGAATTCGACCCATTTCATCACCACTTTCGTAGGATGTTGTGAAATCGAAGCCACTCCTGTACTGAGGAGGACCAAAGCCCGATACCATAGTGTACAAGTTGTTGGCTTATTATTTATTAACATTGTACATACTTTAGCCACGTTTTAAAAGTTAAAAGAGAAAACGAAAATATAACGTGGTGAGTTTCTTTTTATTGAAAATACAAGCTTTCAAGCAAAACGCTTTTCTTCAGGTAATCCAAGAAAATGTGCGGAGAGGTATATACACCCAACTAAGTTAGATTTGATTATTGAAGCGGAATTGCCAGGAACAAGCACGTATCAACACGCCTAGAGAGCGAGCGAGAGATCCAGTTTAAAATAAGTTTGAGTGGACAAGGCACCTGCCCGGTAAGCAGAAGGGTGTGGGTTCGATTCCCGCCCCTGGACACTTTTTATTTTTCCGTTCGCCATTACTCTTCATGTTTCACCTTTCCATACCTCATCCTCAAAGTTAGAAATGTCGCTATTTCTCTTTGAAAATAAATTTCGATTTTTATAAAAGAAACATTCGCGGTATAATTTCAATTTTCGTTTTACAATCATCAGCCGCGTTATATTGTATTTTAAAATAAGTTTAAAATAAATAAAATATATACATAAATCGGGGAAAACACTTGAGGTTAAAATTCCTTATGCGGGATCCATGCTATTACAAAAAGCTATGTACTGCGGGGGTATTTATTACCATTGTACTTATCTGATAAACGAGTTTCATTTTTATCGCATTTTGAAAGGAAAAGGTACCACTTTCGTTATAGACCTGTTCATAGAACGGGATTATTTGATAGAGTTTAATATACTTCTAGATCTAGATAGACCTTCTAGATATTTATCGACTATATATAAAAAATAAAACTAGACGAGAAAAGAAACTTCTAATTTCTCTTGTTTTCTCTAGATTCAAGTTCTTCACAATTTTTTAACACACCTGCTCTTTATTTGAAAGAGTTTTTCATTAGACGAAAGCTCAAATAATGGTTATTATTTGCACATCTCATATGTGAATACTTTTGATAAAATTTTACCGTGGACTTATCATACAAATCCGTGCATGTTTTTTTCTGTGCATACCATCTGTATTTTCGCCATTAAATTTGAATTTCCTTTGCGGACTCCGCGGTGGGTCGATGCATATGACTAAATGTTTTAATAAAGAATTTGTGCGTGTGTTTGTCAATGAACCAATCTGGGGGATAGCTCGGAATATTGTATTTGTTTTTACAAAATAATTGTAACCATAAGCATATAATCCCTAGTTGTCATTGCAAAATGATAAATAATATTAATAAGAGACTTTGCTCGATGGTGTTTGAGAAAATAAACTTTACGGTTCAAAATAAAAGTATAGAATACGAAAGTTGAACAAGTAATTCTACTCACAATAAGCCTGGGTAAATATCATCTTCACACAATTCTCTGTTTTAGAGGTGCTATTAAAGTCCTCACAAACTTTCGGCTTCAAATATGAACTCATGGACAAAACTTAAGAAAGTTAAAAGTTCTTCAGGATGCCGGTTGTCTGTTTTTTTTTTAAGGAAACAGGAAATTTTATTCACACTTGGTTATCTCGTATGTCCTTAATAAAGGTCACTGCGTATCAAATATCTTTCAGAGTTATTATTTGAATACCTATTTTCATGTTAAAAAGGTACACATTTCTTAGGTTTTGTCCACATACACATGAATGTGTGTATTTTAACTATTATAAAATATCTAGAGAAATTTGATGAAACAATATTTTACTGGTTAGAAAGTATTTCTAATCAATATATATTTTCACATAACACTCAATTATGTTTGCTTTTTATATAATTCCAAACATTCATACATCATGGCAAGGATAAAAGACTCACCAGGAAGGTTTATCTAAATAAAATTTGAAGAGTTATAATTATTAGCTGGAAAATTTGAAATTATCTATAGATATTGATAAACTATTTAAAGAATCAACGATTTTCGATAGCCTTCAAATTTCGAATAATTTTCTTACAGCTGTGTAGCAATCTATGACTTGAGACAAACAAGTGCATGCCAAGTCTTGCAATTTATGAAAAAGTGGCGTCTGTTCCTCAAGTCAGAGGCGGTCATTTCTTTTGGAGCTAAGTCGGCTTGCCACTGAGTAGTGCTCCCAGTCTTAATGGCGCATTCTACTTCACCCAGTATCCTAATATGATTAAGTGAAGATTAGAAAGAAGAAAGAAGAAGACGAAAAATACACACATGGACAAACACTTAAGGAAGTTGTATCTTTTAGCATGTATATCGGGATTCAGACAATACCTCTTTAACATATTTGATACATAGCCACCTTTAATGAAGACATGCGAGATAACCAAGTGTGAACAAAACTGCCTTTGTCTCCTTTAAAATAAAAACCGGCGATATCACAGATATTCCACATTTTCAAGTTTTGTCTATGAATACATATATAGATTTATTACTTTTTTATTTTAATAGGCTCGTATTGTTTATTTCATATTAAAAAAAAATTCAATTTACATTGCGAGGTTCAAATATAGGTATATACATGGTAATAACAATAATAGTCTATTTAACCTAACGTATTACGATAAATTTCGTTTACTATAACTTTAATAATAAAACCTCAATACATCTTTTACTAGATTGTCCTGTTTTACAAGACTAAAGAATCGAAAATAATTTAATAGTAATAGATCCAAGAATTTTTATTTCCAGTAAAGAAATGTATATTAAATTCAGTACCTTTGGAAAATATATATTAAATTATATAGCAACAAATATCTTTTAAGAAAACTGATAATTTATATTATGCTCATTGTATATATTGCCAGACACTTCTTTCTTTTGTACACAGTTATTTTTTTCTCCCTCTTTGTTTTTGTTAACATCATATGACTATTTTATTCACGGCCTAAATATATAGACAATTGTAAAGGCATAAATGTATGCCAGTGCAAGTGTCCCTAGGGGAACATAGCACTTTAAATTGTAATAATAAAAATAACGTTGGCTACATATTCCTATATATCTAGTTTAAGTGAGGGGCTCTAGGTTTTAATTTCAAAAGATTACGAAAAAAAAAAACGATTATAACTTAACTTTACGGTACATTTTCGCTTACAAATGATATTTAACTAGTTATATAATTATGGTCGATTGAAGATCTACCTTTTTATAACGTTGAAGGATAGGGAGTAAACAAAGAAAATGTCGATTTAGCTTTATTTCACGATATGGTATTAGGAGTACAAATAAGTTTTGAGGGATTTTTTTTATAAATTCGAAGCTTTATTCAGAGAAATCAGTACAATATATTTCATTCAAAGTATTGTCCATCTTTAGCTACGACTTTTTCCCATCTTTCAGGCAGCATACGGATTCCGTGTCGAAATAATTCCTCGTCTTTTGAGGCGATCCAAACATTGACCCAATTTTTCGCCTCTTCGTAAGAAGTGAAGTGCTGCTCGGCCAGGCCATGTGTCATCGAACGGAACATGTGGTAGTCTGAAGGAGCAATGTCTGGTGAATACAGCGGGTGGGGTAGGACATCCCATTGAAGCGCCTCCAAAGTCTCCTTGATAACTTTTGCAACATGTGGCCGAGCGTTGTCGTGCTGATAGATCACCTTGTCATGTCTTTTGGCATATAGTGGGCGTTTAATCTTCAATGCTCGGCTTAATCGCATCAATTGTTGTTGGTAACGTTCTCCAGTGATGGTTTCGTTAGGCTGAAGTAGCTCATAGTAGATCACTCCGAGCTGATCCCACCAGATGCACAGCATTAGCTTCTTGCCATGAATATTCGGTTTGGCCGTTGAAGTTGATGCATGACCGGGCTTAACCGACGATTTTCTGCGCTTTGGGTTGTCGTAGTGAATCCACTTTTCGTCCCGTCACGATTCGATGCAAAAAACCCTTCCGATTTTGTCTTTTGAGCAGTAGTTCGCACGTGCAAATACGGCGCTCGATGTTTCCTGGCTTGAGTTCATATGGAACCCAATTTCCTTGTTTTTGCACCATACCCATGACCTTGAGACGGTACGAAATCGCTTTTTGAGTCACTCCCAAGGTTGTCAGCGAGCTCCTCTTGAGTTTGGCTTGAATCTTCGTCCAATAAAGCCTCCAACTCAGCGTCTTCGAACTTTATTGGCCTCCCTCCGCGTTCTTTGTCTCTGGTGTCAAAATCGCCACTTTTGAAACGCCGAAACCAGCACTCACATGATTTTATTGAATAGAGCATGTTTACCATATGCCTCACACAGCAATCGATGTCCATCAGTTGCACTTTTCTTCAAATAAAAACAAAAAAGCAGCGCTTCCCGCAAATTGTGTTTTGTTGGCAAAAAGGTTGACATGGTTAGGAGCACCAAAAAAAAAAGTTCCTTACACTTGAGTGAAAAGACTTCTTCTGATTTTTTTGGGGAAATGATGAAGCCTTAACATGAAACCTTATATATACAAGGTCCGATGCTATTTATATAATATTTGTTGTGGCTTCTTTTGCAAATCCCTCAAAACTTATTTGTACTCCCAATATATAATTAACCATTGCTGAATATATATAGTTATATAGCTCTAGTAGTGGGTTGATCTAGCTCTTATAACGTAGAAGGGTTGTAAGTATAACAAAGAAAAGATCGTTATAACCTAACTTTACGGCATATTTAGCTAGCTAACAATAGCTGAATAGTTGTATAGCTCTAGTAGTGTGATAGCAATAGCTTTTATAACGTTGAAGGGTAACAATTATAACAAGCAAAACATTGATATAACCTAACTTCACAGTGACTTTATCTAACAAACAATATACATAGTGTGATCAACAATTTCCAGGAATGCTAAATATTTAAATAAATACAAAAGTATAATAAAGTTTCATTCAAAATTTCTCAAAATAATGACAGTCACTATCTATACACTTGTTCCATCTTTTTTTTCCAGATATCAAAACACCTCTGAAAATCCTCATCTTTCAGGCCTTTCAAAATATTCTTCGAATTCTCCTTTATTTCAGGTATTGAGTCAAATCGAGGTCCTTTTAAGACTCTTTCAATTTTAGGGTAAAGGAAAAAGTCGTTGGGAGCAAGTCAGAAGAATAGGGTGGCTGGGGTAGTAAAGCAATTCCGTGTTTATAGCCAAATAGAGTGGTACAGTGACGGCCGTATGTGGCCATGAGTTGTCATGATGCAAGAGCCAATTTTTCTGATGCCATTTTTCGGGTCTTTTCTGACGCACAGGCTCTCTTAAACGTCGCAATACATCAAGATAGTAATGTTGATTAATGGTCTGACACTCGGGCACTAATTCATAGTGTACCAATCCCTTTACAACAAATAAAGTGATAAGAAGACACTTAAGCTTCGATTTGATCATCCTTGCTTTCTCTTGCTTATTCGACCAGCTTTTA